TAAGAGCAATAAAATCTAACTTGATGATTTTCAAAAGGGAGGGAATAATTGTGCAATTGTATACCCTTGCTCTGAAGTGCATTAATTATCATCAGCTCAGTCACCCAACAATTCAAAGTACACAAGCAGATTGCCAGTGTATTTTTCCCGTTATTCTGGTTTTTTTCTCCTGCACAAAATTCCTGATTTCCCTACCTTGAGTACTCCTTAATTTTTGTTAAGGTTGTATCTTCAATGATAGATCCAACTTATACACAGGTGCAACTGCATAAAGTGCTGTACCATAATAGAGTATAACAGAGTAGGACTTGTAAAGTACTGTACTATAGATAAATCAGTAAGATAATACAGTGAGACCCCCACATGTGGACACCTTGACGTGGGGACAATTCAACTTAAGGGCATTTATTTTTCAATTAAAAAATCACAAAACTGGCTCAACATACGGACACTGACTTGACATGAAGACATATTGCATGATAAAATTGCAAATAAATTTTATGAAATCAACTTTTATCAAGCTTAATTGAAAGAAACAGATATTTCTCACCCTAAGATATATGCCAGAAAAATTATTTTGTACTTTTCCCATAACTTTCCCATCCATTCAGCTAATTTTAAAAATTACCTATACCACAGAGGGACTTATTTTCCTTTTTGTGACTTGGATGTTATATTTACAGATGCCAACATTTCAATGAACTGTACAGCAGTACACTATTCAATGCTCCAATAATGTTCTTATAGGGTTGAAAAGATATTCCCTGAATCAAATTCAGTTCAGCAAAACTTTTTATGGAATTCTGAAGAATATTTCTTCCATAAAATACCAATTAAAATTATATAATATAAGTCTATGGGAAAACAAGACTCAACTTGGGAACAATTCAACTTAGGGACATTCTTGATGCACCACTTATGTCCACATCTGGGGGTCTCACTCTATAACTGCCCAAGCATCTTACATCTCGATGGCATTCTTCTGCGTATGATTTGGTAAGGCATTGAGCGACATCTGTCCCGCGTATTCAGAAGGCGATCCTGCTCGCGCCGGTGCCTACATCCGGGGTACTACGGTGTATGTTGAAGTTCCTGCGCTCGCAGCCAAGCTCAGTGCCCAGCATCCTGACCCTGAACGCGCACCTACTGGTCAACTCCGCCCCCAAGACGCGCTGGGCCTTCTTTGACAAGGACACCAGTGAGGAGGAGGTCCAAGGCCACGCCTCTCAAATCTGCGGTGAATCCTACCTCGCCTTCTTGGGGATGCTTCGCCCCGGACTGCGGGCTGCCACCGGAGTGCCTGTACTGGTGCTGGGCGCGGAAAACGATCGCCTTTTCACGCCGAGCCAAGTGGCCGCCACGGCACGATTGCACGCAGCACCCTGTCACATGTTCCCGGGGGCGCCCCACAACTTCATCGTTGGGTCCCACGCGACCGCCGTGTGCCGATACATGCAGGAATGGCTCGAAAATGGTGCTGCAACTACTAGTGACATCTAGCTGAGCCCGCTGCGACCGACCGCAGTTGCGTCTCATGAAACGACATGAGATGTCGCTAATCGCCCTCAGGGATGATAATGTACTGAGAAGTACACTTTATTATTGTACAGTAACAGAACGATGCGCTTTGTGAAGGGAACGGCACGAATTAATAAACTGTTTTTGGTGAACTTGAAGGTTGCATACTTTTTTGTTCAACTAAAGAGAGAGACCACGCAAGTATTGGTTTAAATGTCGGTAATCTTGAAGCAACTTTGTTCAATAATAATCGAACTTCATATTTTACAATGCATTTTTGTTGTTGAGATTCAGTATTACAATTTTCGACGAAAATTATAATGTATGTATTGCTTGCTGAGGGTAGCTTTTTGACCTAATTTTAGGCATGCAGCATTGTATCGAAGTCAGGGCCGGCCTAAGGCGGGTGCAGCGGGTTCACTGCACACGGGCGCCTGGCTAGGGGGGGCGCAAAAATCAGTGCCAGAGTTGGCGCAAAAATCAGACCTGACCTGGGCAGTAAGGAGGGGGTGTGCCAGCATGATGAGGCGCCAGGCACCTCATCATTGATTGACTCATTGAAGAGGCGCCTCATCATGCCGGCAAAATTATTTACTTTCAAAACTTCAAGATTGACAAAAGTAAACAGCAAGACACAGGCAGCATCAAAAACTTCAAATCCCTGAGTTCCCTGCCCCCTCCCCAATTCTGATGCTTCCTGTTCAGGCTGTGATGTTTTGGACTGCACGTTAATAGGCCAATCACATGCCTCAAAAATTGAACCACTGCTGNGTAATCAAGAGACTTATCAGCATGGTTCATTGTTTCATGTATTGACAGTGCATAAAGTGCACAGTTATTAAAATAAGCAGAGTTATAAAAGAGCCCATTGTTAGAAGAAGCACAATTATCAGACAAACAATAAGAAAATTTTAAAAAGTTCTAGTTTTTTGCTTATAAATTTTTAAATTTACTAGATTTAAAAAAAAACACAAACATTCAGAAGAAATCTCTGCACCTCTAATCCCTTTAAATGTTTGAAGTTTGGTGAAGAAGGAAATTTTGTATAAATTTTCAGATCTGAAAAAATGTTTTTTGTCATTTAGAAAAGGTTTAACATTCTCATTTTCACCTTTGTCAACTTGGATTATCTTATGTTTAAAAAATGGGAAGTGTAGAGAACTCCATAATTTTTTCAATGCAGTTGAAAATTTGCATTTCAGTGCATAATTGCCTTTTTGGCAAATTTGAAAAGATGAAAAATTGGGAAGAAAAACTGAAACAAGAATTCAGACTTTTTAGTTTAGCACATTCTAATTTATTTGCTTTTGATGAAAATTTAAAATTCTTTACAGGGTGTCATGCACAGTGATGTTTTACAAGCTTCTTTCTTTTTGTTGAAAAATGTTGCAAATTGAAACGGTTGAAATTCAAAAAAGTAAAAAAAATTTTGATGATTTTTGTACAATTTTCAAAAAACATTTCACATTTTTGGTTGTAATTCTGTCAAATGTTCAGATTTTTGCATGTTTAAAAAAGGAAATTTAGAAAACATCTTTGTGCATGCAAAGCTGTAGACAATTCTAAAATTGGTGGAAAATTGAATTTTTAACAATTTTTCAAAGTCAGCAAAATGGACCACAGTCCATAAGCCAGTTTACAGTCCATAAGCAGGTGCAACTTCCCCAAAACAGAGCCAGTCCTTTAACTGAGAATTTGTAACTCAATGTCCATAAACTGGTGTTTGACTGTATATTGTCTGATTGAAATTTTTCATGTATAGGGGCTAGCAAAATGGACCACAGTCCATAAGCCAGTTTACCGTCCATAAGCAGGTGCAACTTCCCCAAAACAGAGCCAGTCCTTAAACTGAGAATTTGTAACTCAATGTCCATAAACTGGTGTTTGACTGTATTGTATATTGTCTGATTGAAGTTTTTTGTGTAAAGGGGCGCCAAGTGAGGGTTTGCACACAGGCGCCATGAAGGCTTGGGCCGGCCCTGATCGAAGTGCAAATGATGGTACACTGAACTTGATATTACACTGCATATTATTTTATGACAGCTGCTGCACAATATTTTCATGATCACAATACAAAACCTTTTCAAATTTCGTCCAGCAAATTGAGATCTTCCCTAAGGGGGTGTGTGGTGGTGCTTTCAACTGATGTCTATAGAGGATTTCTTCTTAGCTCTTGCCTCAGAGGTATGCCAAAAATCCTTTGGTTTGGCATACAGAACATGCAAACAAAATATCCTGCTTCATTACACAATCAATGCAAGAGGTGTATGTGCAGTGCAAATCCCAATGGAACCTTTATGAATGGTGAAAAAATTACATGTACAATACTGTACTGTGCTTCAAGCAGTCATTTGTCTGCATGTTGCCTTTTCTGAAAATTTGACTTCACCATAAAAATACAGTGGGACTGCCTGGCGTAAAGAAGATTTTTGCACCTAAGAAAAATCTACTCCAATTTACACACATAAAATCTTCAAGATTTGAAGACTTTCAAATAGCATATCTAGAAAATTGAAAATTTCTACTTTTCTAAATTTTGATATCTTTTGAATAATTGAGTTGATAATATTCACAAGAAAAAATTCATTATTAAATACTCCAATTCATTATAAAAAAATTGGCCAATATTTTCCATCTTTCTTTGGAGTTTTTTCCATCATGTGTGCTCAGGATAGCCAGGGTTGTTCTTCGCTTCTTGAGCTATACCTTTGGTTCCAAAGATCAGATTCTGTGTGGCTTTCTTCTGCACATCCAAGTCCAGAAACAAATTTAATCAATTTTTGGGGAATTTATTCTCAATTTTTAATGAACACTAGAACCAATTAAACATGGAAGTCTATGAGGAAAAATGATCTTACACATGGGTGCTCCAGCATAGGGACAATGCCCAAGCATGAATTATGAACTGTGGACAACTTGGTAAATTAGACGTGCATACACAGGAATACCTTGACCCACTTGAACTGAAAAACTGTAAAAACTTTCCCCCTGCAACAAAATGTTCTCAAATCGTCGACATCTGGAGTAGTGAGCTTCAAAAAGTTTTATTCCAGTCTCATGCATGAAAGACGCAAGAAACCCAAATTCAATCCATTCAGGTCGAAAGCCTAATCATCGTCAATAATGCCCTCCAAATTCCTCCACATAGGATTCCACACTCACGGTCCAGCCAACTGCAAAGCTACTTTGAAAATAATCATTACATGAAAAAAGCCAACGATAAAAATCCACGTGCTTCCTTTCCACTATTCCGTTCGTTCTTGACTTTCGCTAGTGATGCTGAGACGTTTGAAGAAAAACCCGAACACACACACTTATCAGATGGTATCACAAACTGGGGGGAAACACAAAAGAGGGCGCAACATTCACCCGTAGGACGATTAGGGAATCTCACAGCCAAATAAAAAAACTGTCACGAGGACAGCAATTTTCCTTTTTTCTAGAATAGTCTTTGTCACGGGGAGAATAAAAGGGAGTTTCTCTCATGAGTCAGGTGGGTCCGTGGAGTCCATACTCTCCGGGGTATCTTCGTTGGCCTGCCTCAAGTCCTCCACGTGCATGGCGTTGAGGGTCCTCACCATGACTGACAAGGGTACCGTCATGGTATCCCGGGTTGCCTCGAGCATGATCTTGTTCTTATCTCTCAGCTGAAAAAAAAAAATATATATATATATATATATACGCATTTCCTCGAGTACCACGCGCACCTTTTTTTTCAGAAACAAAACAAAAAAACTGCCGCAACATCTGGACAGCGCCTTTTTTTGGAAAAATTTACACATTTCTTTCCTCAGAATTTTTATATCTCTTGAGACTAGAACAAGTGAAGCTATTAATATTCGCAAAAGATGAAAAATAAATTTCATCATAAAATTGCCCTAATTCACGATCAAAAACAGGCTAATTTAGAGCTTCCTTTTTCAGAGTTTTTCCATCATCTGTGCACAGCAAAGAAAGATGCTTGTTCTTGTTCTATGCTTCTTCAGCTCCTTTTCAAGCCAAAAATATCACATTCTGTGTGGTTTTCATCATAATTATTTTCTGTCTCTTGAAACTGAAGCTCAAGTATTTTTATTCTCATTTTTGGGGACTTCATTCCCAATTTTTGATGCCCAGGAACCAATTGAATATGTTCCCATCGAAGTCTATGGGAAAACGTGATTTGACATGCAGACACAAACGAGAATGTAGGAAGGAAAATTAAAGACCTCTTCCTGTGCTTCAAATTGGAAAAATTAACTGTCAATTGGTAAAAATGGAAGATCAAAAATTCCGTTTTGGTATTTGGCAAAATATCGCTAGGTGAAGGTTCGGGGAATCCCGACGGGTTGAACCTAAAATTTACCTTCAGAGCTTCAGCTTCGTCGAACCCCGGCTCTGGGGCAACCGGAGCCCAGAATTTGACATCATAATCTATGCCTGAACTTGCAAACATCGGAAGCGTTGGGTGAGGCTGAACGCAGTTCACAACCCGCCTGCAAAAAAACGAAACAAAAACAAAACAAATAAAAATAACTTCCACAATTTCTCCGTGTTTTAAATAATACCGGTCAGCCTCCAGCATCATGACGTGTTCCCCAGTCCCCTTGTCCCACACGAAAATGTGTCCGCAGTCGGACCCGCTCATGACGAACTTGGAGCCCCAAAAACAGGCCTCCTTGATCATTGTCCTCGCATTCCTGTGTCCCGTGTATTCCTTCAAGCACTTCATGGACACTTCTTCGTCGGAGTCCGGAGCACTGCAACCCGCCCTGGAAATGAATGATCGCACTTTATCCAGTCGAAATAACATTGGTACTGTATCACTCCATGAACTGCTCAAGGATAAGAAGACTCAAGTTTGCAGTATTATCAAGTTTCTCTAAAGTACTGTCTGCTACCTAAACCATTGACAAAATACATTTTCTGAAAGCGTTTAATTATTACACAGTTGAACCTTGATGAATTGAACCTTCCTGAGTCAAATTTCTATCAAGTCCCTGTCTGAATTTGCTTAGAAACAATGCATTCAAAACCTCCCTCACTCGCAGGCTTTCCCCTTCAAACCTCCATAACTCAAATTTCTGACAGCCCTTTGGCTGTCAAGTTATCAACATGGGGAGAGAACAATTTACTATAATTTAGAACTCTTTGAAAGGAAGTGAAAGATTCATTAGACAAATGAACCCTTGCCTCCAAGGTCAGCATCCTGTCAACTCATTTAAAAAAGCAAATTTAGGCACAGAATATTACCAATTTGTTATGGATTGGTTGATTTTTGTGATCTGCCCTAAAATAAATACTATTTTACTAGAAATGTCTCCTCAGTTCTAAAGTTGTCCACCTCAATCAAGCAACCAACAAAACGAACATTACTGAAAAGGAAATATCAATTACAGTATTTATCATCAGGGTGTTACAGTACAGTATATCAAATGAAGATAGTCCTCTTCCAAAAGATAAGCTTGCCCTCGATGCTCTTCTGAACAGAACCAGACCAACAATGAGCCCCAAAACAGACAGTAAACTGAATCACAAAATCATGGTACAGTAACCTGTCAGGACACTTGAGAATACAGTATATTGTTATCAGACTTCAATTGATGTAAGCAAAATATAAAGTTCTTAAAGAAATCTCTTGAGTCTCTATATCTTAATACTTACCATTGTAAAGTATTCTTAATTTAGGTCTGACAATTTATTGTGGTGAGGAGATTTCTAATCCTTATTGCTAAGTCAATCAATGAAGAATCCTCAAGAATTCTATAAAAGAATACAATTGTCCATTTCTTGCATTCTACAAGTACTGTACAGGCAACAATAAGTAGCATACATTTAACCAGCAAGCATCAGAGATACTGTACAATGAATGTGAGAATAGAGAAAGGCAGATGCCTTCATAGACTTTTGGAGTCCAAGATTGGGAAAGACTGGTCAGACCCAGATCTGATCTCATTTCAGCCTGAGTTGCATAAATCAGCAGCACATGACTTGGTGTGGTGGCACATCATTGATGGGAATATGAAAGTAAGAAACACTCAACTGCCTTGTGCATGGTCTACTAACAAGAAGGAATGATATAAACTATTTGATGACAATACGATGACACATGACAATTTCCTGCAATTTTTTGCTCTTTTTACCCTGAACAAAAACGCTTGTTTCCCCAACTCGAATTTTGCGTTGGTTCCTTCAAGTTTGACTCACGCAGGTTTGAGGCATTCCCCATGCATGCAGAAACGTTTCCAGGATGGATCAAAACCTAAAAATATCGCATCAAGTACAAACCTGGGAAATTCAGGACCACCCGGTGGATTCGAAGAACCTTGCTCCCGAGCGGCGGGTTCACCCGGCTGCTGCTGGTCGCGCTGCTGTCTCAATCTCAGTCGTTTCTGCCTGAGTCTGGATATCAATATGGCTCTGAACATGTTTGACAAGATGCTCGTCATCCTCGTACCTTTAAAAGAATTCAACAAACAAAAAAACAGTTGGAAAATACAGACGCAGGAAGTCATTCTCGATATTAACGTATTGTCAATGAAGTAAAAAAAATAAAGTCACAAAAACTGGCACTCCGAAATTGCAGGCGCAAAAAATAAAAGAATAAACACTGCACTGTCAAATGTAAATTCCTGTTCTTTTCGCAAGTTTATCCTCTTTCATGAAAATATATTTCTTCTACTTCTTTGTGTCATTTTATTTTCATGTTATTAAGAATTTAGTCAGAAGAAACCTTCCCAAACAAACTTGTTCTCCTCAAATTATCCTCCAGTAACCCCTTTGGTACATGATACTACAGTATTAGCTTTGCTAACCAAGTCTTTGCATTTTGATTAAAAATTTAGAAAATTTTCAAGACTGTCTCTGTAGTGTAATTACTGCAGATTACATACTGCACCGTATTCACTACAGTTTTCACTTCAGTATCCGTTTTTTCCCCCGTGAAATTGAAAACTGTTAAGATGAGCGCACACATTTTTTTTTCAACAATTAATTTCGAAATTATGAATTAGGATTGTTCGTGGTAATAATTTTGGAGGTTGAAAACGCGGTTTATTTCAGATCAGAGAGACTTGTACGGTTTTACAAGAAGAAATATTTCAAGCCGTACACCTTGTTTTGAAATT